CCTGTGCCCTGTGCCCATGGTGCTGGCTGTGCCCCGTGCCCCATGCCCATGGTGCTGCCCGTGCTGCCCTCCCTCACGAGATGCCCTCTGCAGGTTCCGAGTCCCGTCGCACTCGTTCTGCCCCCCTGGGCCGTGCCAAGGCCGTGTGCGGGGATGCCCACCTGGATCTGCTCACCCAGGGCTGCACTCCACAGCCATCCTGCTGTCCGTGGCCATCCTGCTGTGCCACAGCTGATCCTCAGCTCCGTGTCCCAGGAAGCACAAGCCAAAGCCTTCAGCGCCTGCTTCTCCCACCTCTGTGCCGTCCTCATCCTCTGCATCCCACTCAGCAGCCTGTCCATCCTGCACAGGTGCCCCTCACCCCACGCTCCTGGTCCCACCTGTCCTGAACCCACCCACGCACAGCTGGAAAACCAAGCAGATCCAGAGGTGGATCCACATCCTGCTCTGCCAGAGAGGGACCCAGCAGCAGGTCTAGTCCCAGAGGGGAAATGTCCCAAGGCCAATCTCTTCCTTCTATTCCTCTCCAGACTGGTTGCTTATGGCAATATCCTCTCCTGGAGAGAATCCCTCATGTTCCTTCACATCCCAGGAGAACCCTGTCACCTCTCTGCAGCACAGCTCCCCTCCTCTCCATGGAGGGGTGGATTTTGGCCATCCACATTATCCCACCTCCCATTCTGGGATGCCCCACTCTCCGAAGGGCTGTGAGAGGGCAGAGCTGGTGTGACCATGTGGTGAAGCTGCCTCCTTGAAGGTCGGGGAGACAAGGCTGCTGGGGGCAGGTTTTCATCTGGGAATTCACTGCTAAGAAGGATTTGGTCTCTGCAGAAGTACAGACAGTGTTACTAGACTTGTGATTTTATTGACAATATCCCTGTTTGGTCCAGGACATGAAACTATCCGTTCCCAGAGCTGTGTGACCATATGAGACCCCTCAGCTTTCACTGTATGATGGAGACAGAAAGCCTTTAGGCCCTGGAAGGGACTCTCAGCTCTCCCTGGAGCCTTCTCTTCTCCAGGTGAACCCCCCCAGCTCTCCCAGTCTGGCTCCAGAGCAGAGGGGCTCCAGCACTTGGAGCATCTCCGTGGCCTCTGGACTGGCTCCAGCAGCTCCATGTCCTTGTGCTGGAGGCCCCAGAGCCAGACACAGCATTCCATGTGAGGTCTCCTGGGAGCAGAGCCCAGGCTGTAGGGGTGAGCCCAGGACACGGTTGGGTCATGCCATGTGCTCCTTGATGCTCACATGAACTCCCCATCCCTGCAGCCGCCCCAAACCTGGCTGGGCTCCGGCTGCTCCCAGCGATTCACCCCCTTCCTTTAATCATTGACAGCACCACGTGTCTTCCCGACATTCCCTGTTTGCTTTTCTCTGTTTAACTTTCCACTGACGGTGCCCAAGGCAATAATGTACAGAGCAATTTTTCTCCCAGTGCTTTCCAGCTGTCCATCCTTTCCCTGACCCGCGTTTCCCATCACACATCTCCCCTGTGCCAGCAAACAGGGCGAGTTGTCACCTTCTACTCCACACCGGGGTGAGTTCAGGAGCTCCAAGGATGCTCCCAGGGCTGGAGCCCCTCTGCTCTGGAGCCAGGCTGGGAGAGCTGGGGGTGCTCACCTGGAGAAGAGGAGAGACCTCAGAGCCCTTTCCAGGGCCTAAAGGGGCTCCAGGA